TGCCACTACGCTTTTAAAATACACTTTGTACGTCTTTATTTTCCTGTCTTGTTTAACGCTGGATCTTATGTAGTCTGCCTTGTCGGAGTTATCTTTCAATAAAGATACTTAGTTATGACTAATGTTGCCTTCTGTTAACAACGCAAAATTATTTTTCTGTAATTTTTATGACTGGATCTATTCTATGTACTCGTATTTTGACTGATAAATACATTCAAGATAGTTGATATTTTTATTTAAATGGTGCCTTGAAAGTATAAAAAAATGCAAGTTTTGCCATTTATTATTGCTATTGACGTTTCCTTAGAAACTAAAAAACGTATTTTATATCACTCCTTGCCCTAGAAGAAACAGTTATATGTATGTAGTTTGGTTTATGACATTTGCATGAAAAAAAAAATGTTTTTGGCATTGTAACTTAGGTTAGTAAATTGGTAAATAAAATGGTTATTAATTCATTTTACAATAACGTTTATTGATTTAACCGTGCAAAATGTTAGAAATCTGTCAAGAAACAATAAAAATTATTTACTATATTTGAAATATTTGATAAAGGGTTGTTTTATCGAGCAAGTTATATTTATGCCGAATGAGCTAAAAACTGATTCTGTGCTACGATTGTCTATTGATTGTCTATGGATTAGTAGTCTATTGTAGATTATTTAAAAATGTATGTTTCACCCAATAGGTTTCGTTTCCTAACGGTCTTGTTAAGTGAGATTTTGTCCTGATCCTCCAAGAGCTGTACTTTGCCAAATATAGACAACACAGCCCATTCCCCTGCCGGGCAGTGCAACATATTCATTCTATTTCTTCACTTTCTAAGGACAATCAGCAATTAATCTCTTCCAGGCTCAGCTTTTCAATGGATTTGATATAAACGGCTTACCAAGAGCTGGTTCTGGTCCAATGAAATTCGAGGCATCAACCTCCCTAGCTAGATAAACTGGTGGTTCGTTCTCTTGGAGATTTGAATAATCAGCAGAGAGCGGACAATTTGTGACTTTAACCTTGAACATAGATATGTCATTCATAAACCTAGATACATTACCCATGACGCAGTGGCGTGTCGGGTATGCATCGGAAATTTACGAGATAATTCACGAAAATTCCACGGTACATACATTTTTAGGCGTTATAAAATATTTAGAAAATCAGAAATTGTATACTACATATTTATAAATAAAGTTCGATTAAAAATAGTGTCGTTCTTATAATTGGAAATTAGGAATCAATGTAACGAATAACCTCAGGCGACGCACATGATAGAATAGTCCAACTCACGCTCCATTCATAACAGGGCTGCAGTTTGAATTCTGACCAATAGGAATTTGATAAACGCAACCGATGTCGACGGATGGACTAGAGATGGGCGCGAGTGTCATGCGCATTTCTTTAGAACTAAATTAACTTAATTATTTTCTCGTTATTTAACCTATTCACATGATTTATGGATTTTAAATAAAGGGTACAAATCTTCGCGAGGATAATACGATATATTTGCTATACATAATAATTATATTTTGCATAGTTTATACACAAATACGTTTTTGAACGCGTACACATCTCTACCAAAATTTGACCTATTCTTCGGGTTGAAGACACACATTGTCCGCTCTCTAATGATCAGATACAGGTAAACTAGAGTCATTTTGTTATTTCCTAACTGCACGTTGATTAAATACCACAGCATACAAACAGACTTTTATCGACTTCAACACCTTCTGAAATTTTGGACACCAGCAATTTGATGTGTCCCATGGTGTCAGCTTCCAGCGTATTGATAGCCGCTTTACAAATTTGGATACTGCCGACCTAACTTATCTCTTCAATTATACGCATAGATGGTAAATCCAGGAGAATATCCAGAGCAACTGACGATACGTCAAGATGCTTCTATCTTCTACGAAAATACAGGAAGTACGTCCAGAAGGTCATCACAAGAAGTGACTTAAGTAGTACCTCATCTTGTGGATACGACCGTAGAATTGCCTTTATGGTTCTATTTTCCAATTTTGCCCAGATCGTATAACAGACTCGATTCCTCTAGAGCTGCTGTATAGAGTGACGCATTATTTAATACATTTTCATTGTTAAGGAATACCGTTCCGTTATCGCAATTCCTTTTTATTGAAAATATTAGGTGAGCTTCCCGACCAGAGTAATCGGTATGCCAATTCTGTCAATTTAAAAACCTTTTAGGAGTAGGTACTGGTGGACATTTAAAGGGTACACATTATTAAGGGGATGCATACTAAACCTCTGAATATTCATCCAATTCCTTTTCCAAACTTTTCCATAGAAATGATGTGACGTTATGTGAATGATTTAGACCTTAACATCTTCTCGGCCTATTTTAGATATATTTTATGAAGTAAACAAATGAGTCAGTTTCCCACTTCTCTCGACCATCACTCACTTGCAGTTGAACAACTCGCAATCAGTTGTGCAGTTAGGTTATACTACAAAGTTAGTCTTTTTTTAAACAAATAATCCCCCCACCTAAGTCAGCCAGTCGCGGAAAACAACAGCCCTTGCGCCAATAAATTACAGTGTTTGTTAGCCTCCTATTTTTGACATAATGTAACAAATGTCTCCTAAAACTTTTTAAATATTTAAAGTCGTTTAATACTATAGATTAGATTATAATTTTATTCGCTGGACATATTGATATTTTTAAGTATTTTAAAAGTAGCATAATTTTTTTAAATTGCACCGTAGTTTTTTACATTTTCGATTGTTCAGAAAGGGCGACTAGAGGCCATATACCAAAGATATCACTCCCTGGATCCCAAAGAATGCTCGCCTCATAAGTTTAACAGCTTTATGAACTTAATTAGCCGTATTTCTTACATTCCCCGGCACTTTTGCATGATTCATGTGGCGGTGCAAATAAGACATTTAAAATTACAGGTGGTTTAAGTTATCTCACCTCTTGATAATAAGACCTCTGTAATTACGATCACACGATGGTACTTAATTTGGGCTAATTGCTATCTTAATGGGACCGGAGGAGTTGTTTCTATAACACGTAAAACTGCTTCCTTAATGCAAATAATCGCATATCAACGTTTATCTAAGAGAAAAACTGTTCCATACGAATAAGAATGATGGTACCTATGATATTTCAAATAATGTACTCACATAAAACTGTATTCTTGTATCGCGCAAACACCGCAGAAATCACACAATAAAAAGGATGCGTTATTTACCGATTTGTGTAAAAAGACTGTTTTGAAAATTACATGAACATTTTTGAACTAACAGGACTGAATTTTACAATGTTCAAACTCAGAATGGCTAAGTTGTATTAAGATGTCCAATTGTTGTTTTGTTGTTGTTGTAGTAATTGTTTTATTTCCCAACAAATAATCATATATACATATTAAGAGGAAACCTTTCGATGATGCGATGTCAGCCGTTACTTCAGTACTGGAGAATCTAGCGATGATTTTAAAATTTCTTTACGCAATTATCCCTTCTCAATTTTGCATGGTAATGCAATTAACTCCATAAATGAACTACCGAAAGTGCCCTTTTTACAAATCGCGATACCCCTCGAACAAAGGCCCTGACAAAGGCCCACGGGTTTAGAGTGAGCTTTTTGCGTTATCTGCCGGCTTCTGCGGGGGATGATGGTCGTTGTGAGTGACAGATCTTGGCGTGTTTAGATGGAAGGTTGTTCCCGTGCATAGGAATGGCCTACTTGTAGCGATGCCCTGTCGGGGTTCGGTATTTATGGGACCATTCGCCGCCGCCTCCGCCCCGCCGCGACCCGCGCCATCCGAGAGACCGTCTTCCAGCTTTATGCAGATAAGCCGCTTTAATTGCCTCGGAAGAGCACGCTGGCTGCGCCGTGGCGTACCTGCTTTCTTTGTCTCGAAGCTGTTTTGTATTTTGAAGTGCTAGAAACGCATCTCAACCTCAACATCAACGGGATTTAATAAATCAATTAGGTACTGATCAATATTAGTAAATTTTAATGACTTCTTGTCTTAATAATTTGCGACGCATCCGGGGCTACTTTCTGCATTCGGTGTTTTTTTTTTTTCTAAAGACTACTATATCACAAGAAAATCTTTGGATCGCTTCATACCAAATAAAGGTATAAACGAACCACTGATCTAAAACGCTAGTTTTTGAGATACACCGAGTGAAAATATTGTCCGAAATTATGTCACATAGTATTAGTTTTTCCTCCGTGTATTGCGGATTTGCTCCCTGTAAGCAAACGGATTATTATTAAACTATTTTCGTCCTACCAAAAATCTCATTGAAAAAAGTAGACAAATGAAAAACAAAATTACACATCGCACTATATCAGACACATATCAGTTATAGTTAATGTTTCGAAAAATCAATCTTATTTCGTTATCAAAACTGTGAACGAGTTTTTTTTTACTATTAAACCTAAACGCCATTCTCAGTCTTGATAACGAAAAAACTTTAATATTAGTTTTATAAAGAATGGCCCGCTTGGCACAAAAGTTTATTTAATTTTTCACATGTGGCAAAACAGAGATTAAAAAACACTGAATAAAATTAAAAATTTACATTTTTATTCAGAAATTAAACATGTCTGACATGCCTTGGTGAAACCACAGACAAAATAGCTATCGCCACAGACCGCTCCTGGAATAGGCCAGCAGTTTTAAATTTCCGAATTGCCGGTAGAGTACACCACCAGCAGAATTTTAGGAAGAATCAAATACAGCGTATCCTAGCAACATATAAACAAGACTTTGATAATGTTGCCAGGCGTACTTACGGATTTCTTATGCACACTTTTTTATCAATATCTGTTTTTTTGCGTTACTGTATTTACTTCAATGTATGATGTAGGTATTGATAAAAATGTTTTTAAAGAATCAACGAATATCTATGTATNATTAAAGATAAAAATGGAAACCTAATAGGAAATAATGTTACTAACATTGGTTTAGCGCAAGGGTCTCCGATAAGCCCTTTATTATTTAATATTTACATTCATGATATTCAGGAAAAACTACCCTCAAATATTAAAATCATATCTTATGCAGATGACATTGTTATTTTATGCAGTGGGTACCAGATAGAAAATTTAATTGAACAAATTAACAAAGCTCTAAGTCAACTCCAGGTTTGGTTTGAAAAACATAATCTCACGATTTCTAGCAACAAAACTCAAGCCGTTATATTTAGAAAAGGAAATTCCAAAAAAATAACAGGCAATACAAAATATAATAATAACAACATCACATGGACAAAGGAGGTAAAATACTTAGGGATAATATTGGATCATAATTTAAATTTTAATAAACATACAACGTATATTATAGATAAAATTAAAAAAAATATGAATATCATGCGTGCATTATGTGGTACCTGGTGGGGCGCAGACCCTAACACTTTGCATAATATATATAAAAGTCTAATTAGAACTCATTTAGATTACGGATGCCAAGCAATCAGTCCCCTAAGCAAAAGTAATAACAACAAAATGAAAAAAATACAATACCAAGCCCTAAGAATAATAACAGGATGTATGAGATCAACCCCGAGAACAGCTTTACTAGCAGAATGCGCAGAAATGTCAATTGATTACAGAAAAATATGGTTAACAATTAAATATTTAACAAAGGTTTATTCAATAATAGATCATCCTATCCAAAATATAATTGAAGACCTTCATGAATATTGTACATTAAAAGTTAATTATTGGAAAAACAGAGAGGAACCAATAATAATTAAAACATACAGGGATTTTTCACAATACTTTAAACAGATTAAAAAATTAGATAATATACCATTTTTTGTATATGAATACGATCATCAAATGCATACTTTAGATTACAAGAATTTAAAACTAAAAAAGGGTGTAGATAACAATAACGAATTCAAATACCTAATAGAACAATCATATTCGGATTATTGTCAAATTTTCACAGATGGATCTCTAGATCCTGTCGAAGAAAAAGTGGGTGTGGGTGTATTCATACCACAAACTAATTACTCCTATCATGATAGCCTCCCCAAATTTACACAAATATGCACAGCAGAAATCGTTGCGATAAATAAAGCTTGTAGTTACTGCCTGATAAACAATATCAAAAAAGCGGTAATTTTCTCCGATTCTCAGGGCGCCTTGGAAAAAATAACTTCTTACAAAAATTATAAAAGAAAAGATTATATCACGATTCTAACAAAAGAAATGATCATTAATTCTAATAATAATGGAACATGTATTGAATTAGCATGGATTCCGGGACATACTAATATTCTAGGTAATGAAAATGCAGATTGGCTAGCAAACTTAGGGAAACATTTTGCAGTCACCAACAACATTCCACTAGATAAAAATGACATTTTGATTGCATGCAAAACATTCCTTAATAATAAATGGCATCATTTTTGGGAAAACGAGTTGAAAAATAAAGGTAAATGGTACTCGGGGGTACAGTATAGGTTCCCCAAAAAACCGTGGTTTCAATCATTCCCATACTTTAACAGAAATCACTGTTCTACAATGATACGTATGCGTACTGGTCATTGTCTCACCGAAGCACATAAATTCAAAATTGGTGTTAATGATAGCCCAGAATGTGAATGTGGCCAAATAGGTGATTTAGATCATATCATTTTTGAATGTGAAATTAACAAAATTCCAAATATTGACATATATTATCTAATTGCCCAAGCGTGTAATACACCAACCCCGATTAATGTAAAACTAATAATGATGAATTTGACTGTAGAAGGATCAATAATTCTAATGAATTTTTTAAATACCAATCAAATAAATTTATAAAGAATAATGGAATATTTGAATTAAGTTAAAAAAATAAAATAAAATAATAATAAATAAATAAAAATAAAAACAATAACAAATAAAAAAACAACATATGAATGGGTCACTGTGTACACAAAGGCATACAAGGATATGTGAATATAACAAAACAGAATATATTAATAACAAAATTGAAAATAAAAAATACAGGCAAAAAAATATATATGTGTATATATGTATATTTATATACACAGGTAGGACAAAAAATACAAAACCCCTCTATTCATATCCTGGGATTCTTAAACCGAGGCAACATTTCAGGTGTGTAATGCTCCGCAGTTGCCCCGGAGCGAGAAGAGTCTTTCCTTTGTTGTGCTATCTGTCTTACTAACCCCTTTCGGCGAAAATCCGAACACAAATCTGAAGAAAGTTAAATCTCCGAGGACATGGGAACTCCCAGACATACCACCCGGTATATCCTCCGAGAATGTGTTATAGAATAAAGTGTGAACCTGGCCAAATACATATAAATGTTAGGCCATCAATTGAGAAGAAGAAGAAGAAGAACTCTAAAACCTATGAGAATTTATTTAAAATATTATTTTAAGGTAAAACCCCTAAAGGTTAGCACATTAAGTATAAAACTGACGCATTTTAATTATTTTCTCATATTTTTTTCCCTTTTAGACATTTGGTTTGGTGTTAAAAAAGTTAACTTATTCATGTACCTACATCAGATGTGGATTTTTTAAAAATATGTAGCATTAAGTATTCCTTAAATAAATATGTGTCACTAATGGTTGATAAAAAATTACCTAAAGTGACATATCTACGAATTACAGATTGACAATTATTTATTTTATTATACAGGGTGTATCTAAATAACACCGAAAAAATTCAAGGGGCGATTCTCCGATGAAAATTAATAGGGGTCTTTGGTATAAAATTTTTTGAAAAAACCCTCCCCTGAAAAGTTACGCCCCTCCTAAAATTACAAAAAAAAATTGTTTTTCTTTTTTATCTTCCACGTACATCAAGCTAAAGAAACCAAACTTGGTGAACATTATCTGTCAATAAAACTACACTTTTTGAATTTTTTTCAACCCTGAACTATTTTTGTAAGGGGTTGAAATAATCAACCCCTATGACATTTTTTCTTATAATTTTTTTTTCGATAAAATTTTTTCCTTTTAAAAAATATGTCTAAAAAACCCCATTCATTTACTAACTTTTTGATCTCTTCAAGTTTCTTCGAAAAGTTAAGGATTTATGACAAAAAAAAATAAATGTATTGTAATGTATTTTTAAAAAGATGAGCTGTTTAACGCGAGTGTATTTTGCCGAAAGATCTAGTGGCCTGTTCTTTACAATGGAATCCGTAGAAACAAATGTCAATGTCATTTATTGTCATATTAAATAACATTTTATTAAAAAACACTCAACCAAATAGTTGACCTATGATTCTACTAGGCTAAGAAGTTTGGAACTTAGACTAAAAGTGAACAAATGATGAATAATGTTATAACAGTAACAAAAAATAAAAATCTGTCGGATATTGACAATACAATCTACAAAAAATGTTGAAAATGATTGCCTTCAGCTTCAATACAAGCATCTACTCTTGTTCTCATAGAATTGCGTATGCGTTCAAATATTCCTGGTGAATTTTTTATCGTTTCACACCCTGCTACAATGCGGTTTCGCAAATCATTGATATCTTCAACTGGCCTTGAGTAGATCAAAGATTTCAGATATCCCCATATGCAAAAATCCAAAGGATTAAGGTCAGGGGAGCGGGCTGGCCAATTTACATATCCTCCTCGACCTATCCATCGATTGGCATACACCTCATCCAAGTGACGTCTTGCACGTATACTAAAGTGGGCTGGTGCACCGTCGTGCATAAACCATAAACGTTGCCTAATTTGAATGGGAACTTCTTCAAGAATAATAGGTAATTCTTCGAGAAGATGACAATATGAGTCACCATCTAATCGTCGTGGAAGAAAATAGGGACCAATTAAATGATCGTCGATAATTCCGAGCCACACATTTAATGAAAATTGATACTGATGATTTCCTTCAAAAAAGTCATGAGGATTTTCCTCAGCCCAAATATGATTGTTACGAAAATTTCTAATACAGTCTCTTGAGAAATTCGCCTCGTCAGTAAATAAAATATTTCTTAAGAACTGCGGCGCTTGGCCGATCATATTAATAAGCCATTGACAAAAAACCACACGTGGTAAAAAATCTCGAATCAGTAACGACTGCACCCGTTGGAGATGATAGGGATATAACTGTTGTTCTTTTAAAATTCTAAAAACTACCGAATGGCTTACATTTAGGACACGAGCTATTTTCCTGGTACTAGTTTCTGGGGATTCCTCAATTAAATTAAGTACGGCTTCATCGACAGCTTCAGTTCTAACTTCTCGGCTACGGCCACAGTCATGACTTCTCTTTTCAAATTTTCCAAGTTCCCGCAAGCGTTGGTGAATATTTGTGAACGTAGTATGGTGGGGTAATCTACGCTCTGGGTACTGTTCAGCATAAAGTCTTTGCGCTTCCAATGCATTACCGTTAGCATACCCATATGTAAAATGCATATCTGCCATTTCTAAATTCGAATAGTTAACCATATTTTCGGTTTATTAACTAATATTTTCTACACAAAATCATGAAACTTGTGAAATAGTAAGAAACAGTAACAATAAATGACATTGACATTTGTTTCTACGGATTCCATTGTAAAGAACAGGCCACTAGATCTTTCGGCAAAATACACTCGCGTTAAACAGCTCATCTTTTTAAAAATACATTACAATACATTTATTTTTTTTTGTCATAAATCCTTAACTTTTCGAAGAAACTTGAAGAGATCAAAAAGTTAGTAAATGAATGGGGTTTTTTAGACATATTTTTTAAAAGGAAAAAATTTTATCGAAAAAAAAATTATAAGAAAAAATGTCATAGGGGTTGATTATTTCAACCCCTTACAAAAATAGTTCAGGGTTGAAAAAAATTCAAAAAGTGTAGTTTTATTGACAGATAATGTTCACCAAGTTTGGTTTCTTTAGCTTGATGTACGTGGAAGATAAAAAAGAAAAACAATTTTTTTTTGTAATTTTAGGAGGGGCGTAACTTTTCAGGGAAGGGTTTTTTCAAAAAATTTTATACCAAAGACCCCTATTAATTTTCATCGGAGAATCGCCCCTTGAATTTTTTCGGTGTTATTTTGATATACCCTGTATATTTTTCTGTGATTCGAACTTTTGATCACAATCACATATTTAATATAATCTTAAAATTATGGTGGTTTCATTTTTCTCTAAGACAATTACTATTTTATTTTAATTGTGCACAGAATAATAGGTATATCTAAACGATATTTAAAATCAAATCAAATGTCAATAAATAAAATCCTGTTCTCTTCGAAATTGGATTTATGGTTCTAGTTCGTGTTTGTCTGATCCTGATTCAGCGATCATGATTCAAGACTGAGAGCAAAAGAAAACGGCTAATAAATCAATTTTTTTCTTCTTCGTTTATTTTTAGTCTGGATCCACATGCATGCGTGATCATGGATCCGTTGTAACCATGTGATCATCAACATTCAATCCATGACAGAGTGTCAAGTCGCTTTACTGATGAACAATTGGATGTTGATGGTCACGTGGTTACAACGGATCCGTGATCACGCGTGCATGTGGATTCGGGTTCAGTATTTTCAGTGTTACAGATAAAAAACTGGTTCTGAATCTGAAGTCACACTGAGAGGATGCCTCAAATCTCTCTTTTTATTGGTAGTTGTGAAGAAACTATATAAAGTCTAATTTTAAAACACAACTACTCTACATTTTTACAAAATACACTTACCTGTTCACAGTAAGTAATATCTACGTCGGCCAGCACGCAAATGGTGTGTCTACTATATACTACTGACGGAACAGATTATGTGCTATGTGGGTGTTCTAGTCAAAAACATGTCTCGACAAAAATTTCATCTTTTAAAAAATACCAAAATGAACTTTAAATCGATTTCACCGTAACTATATACCTTACTTAGGGATTTCCAACATATGAAAGTGTCTTTATTACACTTAACCAACGCCGGCACCTCTGCTTTTCTTGCAATTTACACCGGACTTAAAATAACGCACAGGTTCGTTAATAAAACCGTACGCGATAAACTAAATAATTAAAATCGCATTTTGCAATTAATTGAGCTTATAATCACCACGGAAATGAATAAATTACTTTAACTATAATACGAGCGTCGGTTTTCCATCATTCACGGGACAAAACTGATTGTGACGTCACAGTCACACTGACATTCAGTTGTTGGTCTTTTTATTATTGGTTATTGTATTTTCATAGCCAGCTAAACCAAAGGATCCATGAGACAACGTGAATATAATAATTAAAGTAGTTTCCACATGCACTGATTACTTGCGTCAATTGACTGGCGCCAGTTTCTTTGCGTATGGAAACAATCATCATAGTGGTGCTAGTATAATGACGGCACTACGGCACTAGTTTATGCGCCAGTAAAGTAAACATAAGTACCTACTAAGTAGAGTTTCTGCAAGCAGTGATTCCTGACCCAATCTTTGCATATGAAACTGTATTATATGTTTTGTGTATGAAACCATGTAAAATTGTGGCCACCAGTAAAGTGGCATCAAAGAAATGGCCAACGGAAATTATAATTAGATGTTTCAATTAGCTTTCCTCTTTTTTATGAGCTAGCTCTTCGATTAAGCTGTCAGATGACCTAGAGATTTCTAACGTAATATGCATGTGCACACCCATCATCTGTACTATATTTTTCTTTGCAATTTCTTGAGAACAAATACCTACTGATATTTACACTACAGTAAAGCTTGCAGTTGAAGCTACTTATGATGAAATATGTGGAAACGGGTATACTAGTCCCAGCTGCTATGATGCCAGAGAACTGGCATATGGTAGGTACTGACACCAGTAAATATTGCCAAAAATTACTGTCGATCGCTTTTAAAATGCTCTTTAAAGTGTATTTTAACTGTTATAGTGTCAAAAAGTAGTAATAAAAACAGTTTTTTATTCTTCAAAAATAATGCTTTCCACACCCAAATTCTTTAATAAAGGAAGAGTGGTAACAATGAAGATTCAATACGCTATCATCAAAAGTTATACAGACTGGTAGGGTCACCCTGTCAGTTTTCAGATCAATGCTGATTTTCAATAAATTTTGTAAAAAGTGTAGGTGAGATATAACCTATAAGCATATTATTTTAAGCAAAAAAGTTCATATAAACATGTATCCGAAAAGCGCTACAGCATTTAACAGTTTCTGAAACCATTGAATGCATGTAGAAAATTAAAATGAACTAAAGTGGTTTTTCAAAGTTAAAATTTTAATTTTAGTCTCTTGGTTCAATAATAGTTTTATTTTAATTTTCAAAATATACTGTTCACTCTTTTATGCTTTCCTAGAGAAAAAGATTTCATGTGAAATTTTCGTAGTTTTAAGTAGTTTTCGATAAAAATCAAGTGAAAGATAATCGGGCACAATCTCAATTACAAAATGTTTTTGGAAAACACTAGTAATAAAAAAATCTTCGACATCAACTTTATTAGCAAAATAATAAAATTTCTTATGCATGGTTTATGTATGGCGGTTTAACCCCGACATACATATCGAAGATGTCATATCAGAAGGGCATACGGACCAAATCTGAAATTTTACAGGAAATGAAAAAAACGTTTTAGGAATCAAGATTTAGAATGAATTTGTCGATTTTGCCAATATAATAAGACCAATACTTTATAGTTCATTGGAGAGATTTAACATCTAGTAAAATGCCAACATGTAATTGATTTCCAGCTCATGCGCCCTTCTAATATTAGGATGTTCGAGGAACGTGTATTAAATTTATTTAAATAATAGGCGTATAGTATACAAAAATATGCTTTATTAATACAGTAAGAGTATTAATACCAACTAAAATTTGTTACATTTAATTTCGGTGCAGTTTCCTCTTTATAAGTCATTCTCATATTTGTTGTAGAGATGTCTCGTCATTAAATTCTTCATCATCGGAATTTTGGGAACTATTTATTACTGGCAATGACACTGGCACATAGACAATAAATTGTTATACTTTAATTTATTTATAGGAAGCTTTTCAGAATATAGCGATGTTGTAACATTGACCGGGTATTTAGGACACTTACAAAATACCAACAAACAACACAATTTTTCACAGGTTTAACCAAATTTAAAATTATGTGAAATTTACCAAATCAGCTGAGGGCGTATAAGCCAATACTGTCTAGCAGGCATAAAAGAAATACAGAAGTATCTGAAGGGCGTATGAGCATACGACTATCTGATATAGTTTTGTAAAATTGGTTCATACGCCTAAGTAAAATGCGTTAGAATAGAGTGTTGATGTTGATGAATATATACGCCCTTCTGATATACTAAGCGAATTGATTAAATGAGGTCATATGCCCTAAAAAACCAAAACCGACTATAGTGGCTCTTACGCCCTTCTGATATGATGCCCTCGATATAATATGTCATATTTTCAATTTCATTGCTTGCTCCTCAATACCTATCGGCACAAAGAATTGCTTTGTACCTACTGATCTTATCTATTTACTGGATATAGGGAGGTGTAATTCAATGCTGGTCGGGACTGTAACCCATAGAGTAATTGTCTCCCACAATATCATTAGTTAAATGACTTAAGCAAAAATAAGAAAACACGGATATTATTTCCTTTCCAATTTCTCCATTTTTAACCACCATTTCTCCTCACAGTTGTATTCATATTTTTGTTTGATTTGAAGGCATCAAATTGCATAAAAAGCATTAAAAATGTGAAATGAACCTTATCTTACAAAATTGAAAATAAATTTTGAACTATTCTTAAATAGCTTTGATTTTACCATTAATTTCTGGTAATACCAATATTAGACTGAAAAATATATTTTTAACTAGGTACATTTTGATAATTTTTACTATAAAATCGGGTATTAGAAAAATATTTCTGATAAGTTTTCGATCATTTGGTCAAGAATTGGGCAATCACTGTTCGTATATGCCTTGATTTCCTTTTATAACTTCTAACCAGGTGGTAAAAAAATTGACCCTTTTTTGACTGGCAAGTTTTACATGGGTCTTCAATTTATTTTTAAGACATTTTTTTCCTTAATCTTTTGAAATATGTTTTTTCCATTATAAAGTGTCTTCCGAAAACTCTCTCTGTTTCAACGTTTAATTCAGGTGTGATCAATTAATATCCAGTCAAGTAGCAGTTAATCGAAAGAGGTAAAAAATGAGTTTTCAATTAATCTTTCACTCAAAAAATTTTCAAATGAAAAAAACTATTTTGCAAAAAAAAAGAATTTTAATGAAGTTGTCAAGGTTTAAACTCAAAACATCTACTGAATAATCAAACACCGGTGCAGTGAACTTAATATCCCATGAGAAAAAATGTATTCTTTAGTGACGTTGCACACAGTGCCATCTAGTGTGAAGTATTAGAAACTACACATTATTTCTCGTTTTTTTTTATCGCAGTCCAAATTAGATTTACTTCAAGTACGGATTCTCAGATTTAACCTTTTTTTTTATTTCATGATGCACTTGAAATTCATTGAAATTCAGGTGAATAACACGGCTCTTATCTTAACATATCATTTATTCACAATAATCTCATAAATGATAAAATACTTTCCACTTAATTCTATTCATAATAAATACAGGTAATAAAAGTCTTGTAAATACACAATAGCTAGTAACAGTGGACTTACCTAAGCGATTTTCTTGAATGTGAACAAATTATTAAGCAATGGGTCGTCAATACTCTCCGAGGTTAAATCAAAGTTCACATCCAACAAAGCGCTCGTAGTCGTTTTTGTGGCGTTCGAATGTTGATGCATCCTGAAAAGAAAATAAATAATTGATGCAATTTTCATAAGATTTAAAATTTTAAATATAGGGTGGACTATTAGCATTTTTATTATTCGAGATTCAAACAAAATGTTCAAAATTGGATGTGGTAAAAAATACTAGAACTTAATATCACATATTATCAAACGGATAGAGTGATGTATGAAAGTGTGGCACAAAAAATATTTTTCTAAACACACCCTGTACGAGACGATTCATGAATATTGCAGATAAATTTAAGTAGAGGATTCTTGCAAAAAAAATTAAGAAAAGATGTTCTCTGAACATGTGTCTAAAAACGCTTTGTTTTCAAGACAGACTATTGAAAAAACAACCATTTGCTAACCTATATACAGTGTGGAACAGCCAAATGGAATAAATTCAGTATCTCAATTATTGTGCATATTTACAAAAAATCCCGAGAAACTTTGATTTTGAATTCTCAAATGACATGTAATGACATACAATGCAATGTAAACATTTCATCCCTAAATTCAACCCCGTTCGAGTAACAGTTGCAACCCTTAAATTTTTAAATGGGAAATAGGAGCTTCTGAAACCTCATTTGAAAGGTTTTTTCATTCTCTATTCGAAAATGTTAGGGTTATAATATTTATTGCAAAAATTAACGGACTGCTTGACGAAATTCTGTATAAAAAACAAAAACATAAAAACTTAGGGCAAAAATCGGGCAATGAGCTTTAAATTTCTTTATCTCAATTTTTTTGTAACTGTTTTAATCGTTTATTTAGAAGGATCAAATTTAGTGTTTTATTCTTGGAAGCTAGCAAAAACAATGTCAGTGTTATTTTTCAACATTATCAACTAAAAATAAAACATCAAAATTTTTCATGGCTGGCATTGCGTTTTGTTGAAAATTCCATAGATTTAATTGACAACAATAAATAGATTTCAGTGTTTTACTAACTGCAATCTGTAAACATGACTTATTTAACAGAAATGCTTACAATAATAATTATACAGATGGTTGATGATGGAAATCGATCCATCACAGGCCCTATTTAAAAAAAAATAGCTGTTGCCACCTATATCCCAAGATACAATTAGCAAAATTGAAAAGCGATTTTGCAAAAGCAAAAATGGAAATGTACTGGAGATAAAGAAGCTTCAAATGCAATAAGTAATGGGACCAAATTAGATGTACTGCTCGAGTTTGAAGAAAACTCACATAGTTAAAGCAGTTTCAGTGTAGAATGTTTTCCAGTCCTCGATTAGTCACATAGGTATTAAAAATTTGTAATTTACAATGTCGCTTGTTCAAAAGCTACAAATTACAAATTTATTTACAACAAAAATTAATTTAAGTTTCAAACTAACTCCGTTTTATAGAAAATCTGCGTTAGAATGGAGGAAAGTCTGTTATTTGTGCATTGATTCATATACGTAGGCTACTGGAAAAGTTTCTGCAATCCACCACGTCCAGTGGTGCCAACGTTCTGTTGGTGTGATATTTGAGAAATAAGACATTTCTAACCTATAAATCAGTTGACAGTTTGTACTCAGCGAAGTAGTTTTGTGTGCATAGTGTTTTAAAAGAAACTGCTCAGTGTAAAAATGGACCTTCCACGTGAAAATTTCCGGGCAATGATTTACTACGATTACAGATGTAGTCTTACTCTGCAATGCATCAATGCATCAATCGACTGCATTTGGCTTTTGGGAATCAAGCACCATCCGATAGGACATTGTATGATTGGTTTGGTGAATTCCAGTGGGGACACACTTATCTTAGTGATGAATTTTGTGAAGGTCATCATCCATGTCTGTTGTTGTCACTAATGTTGATGTGGTGCATGGAAAGATTAAGTGGAATCGGCATATGACATACTGCTAGATTCAGGCATCATTGGGCATTGACATGAAAGCAATACACACGATTTTGAATGTGCAGTCATTGCACACAATTTGACCAACGCTCAAAAAGACACTCGTGTTAAATGGTATAAAGCAATGCTCAAGAAATTCAACCGAGGCCGGTCAAATCCAGTCTACAATGTCGTTACTGGCGACAAAACTTGGGTTTATTCGTACGAGACCGAAAGTAAACAACAATCCATTGTTTGGGTGATTCAAAATGAATTGGAACCAACAAAAGTACACTTTCCGAACACTGGTTTCAGAGGTTACAGTGGGAATCATGCCTCATCAATTGGTTCGAGTGTATGCAACAGTGTATCGATCCGGCGAATACTTTGAAAAACAATAGTCATTTTTCAAAATTTATTTGTGTTTTTACATATTGTTTGCAGAAACTTTTCCAGCAGCCTAAGTATAAACAAACTATGTAACAAAATCTATAAAAATGTACTGCTGGTTGATTATTTCATATAGAGCCATCATAAAGGAAAATAAAATGCGTCGCTATGAACTGATTCCAACTCAGGAGTCTAAAGAGGACGATTTTGATAGAAGAATATATTTTTGTGAACAAATGATAACAATGTTATCCAATTAGAAAATGTTATGTTGAGATGATGATGAGACAACTTTTACTCTTCACGGCCATGTTAATCATCGTCGCTATTGAGGTAGTGAAACTCCTCACTGGATGATGAATTACGTACGCAAAATCTTGAGAAGGTTAATATGTGGGTGGGGATAATTAGAGACATTGTCATTGGTCCCAGCAGGATAAAGCACCACCACATTACCAAATCATAGTCCGACAATACCTCGACTTAACATTTCCAAATCGGTGGATAAGGAGGTGTGGATTGCTAGAATGGCCAGCACGTTCTCCTGATCTTACACCCTTAGTTTCCTTTCTATTGACATATGGGTCATGCCTCAGATGTTGGAAAACATTAAGACATTTTTATTCATGATTAGGATGCTCGAGGAACTTATTTTGAATATTTCCTACATTGAAATTAAGTTTTCTTTTTAGTTTGCTGTTGCAAATTTCGTCAAGCAAATGATTTTATTATTTTACTGCTAATTTTTGCAATAAATAATATGAAAATCATAGCATTTTTGAACAGAAAATGAAAAGACCATTCAAATGAGGTATCATAATCGTAAAAAACAAAAAACCCACATTTTGGAAACCACTGATGTAAAGGATATTTACAAAATTGTATAATAGGGTNTATTCGTACGAGACCGAAAGTAAACAACAATCCATTGTTTGGGTGATTCAAAATGAATTGGAACCAACAAAAGTACACTTTCCGAACACTGGTTTCAGAGGTTACAGTGGGAATCATGCCTCACCAATTGGTTCGAGTGTATGCAACAGTGTATCGATCCCAAAGGCGAATACTTGAAAAAACAATAGTCATTTTTCAAAATTTATTTGTGTTTTTACATATTGTTTGCAGAAACTTTTCCAGCAGCCAGGGCCGGATTTACCATATACCAAAGTGGGCTGCAGCCCAGGGCCCCCAACCTTCTAGGGGGCCCCGCCACTGCGTCCGGGTTCGTTAATTTTGCTTCTTGATAAGAACGCTAGACAGACGTCGCAACACCGCGTGCCGCGTGCCGAACAGACTCGGACGCTTTGTCGATGATAGGCGATAGCCAATATAATCCAGTACCTCGTCATTTCTCGCTCGGAGAAGTTTATAGGCCGTATTTACGTGTGTTGTTTGTTTAAAGAACTAGAACTTCTACACAGGTACGTACTTACTTTTAATTAATAGGGTACTAGCAGAATAGAAAATATTAAACACACTTAAAAACACAATAAATGTTGACTTGCTTGCCTCCTGATCTGCCATGTTATGACGTCACCTGCTAGTGCACTATTAACTGCAAGTCACTGACGTAAAGTCATATTATTTACATGTTTGGCTTATTACCTACGTGCTAATTTTATCTGTTAGTGAATCATGTCGAAGCGGACATATGAGAGCGGTGCGCGAAAGCGGCAACTTTCAAAACAAAAAGAAGAAAAGAAACAAGAACTTTTAAGTAAAGTGCCAATTTTTGACACCTTTTTTAAATCAACACAGATGGAAACAGACGATGTAATGGAACCAACTCCTTCTACTTCAAAAAGTGCTGTTATTGAAGAGTCTATTAGTGCAGATGTGGATGGTGTTGAGGTCGTGGAGGAAGCAAGTTCCGTTGTAGAGTTGACGAGTACTGCATTTACTTTCGATGATGAAGACCCCAGCGGATGGGAGCTTAATGAAAAAAACATTGACTACATTATCAAGAATTTTAAACCACAAATCATCGAAAGTCTTGATCTGTCTAAATCAGGAAAACAATATAGTACCCAAATTAGATACGCCTATTTTATACGGTTTTACCGAATGGAGAGAAAGTGCGGCGACCGTGGTTATACTATTCAAAGATAACAAATAATTGTTACTGCATCCCGTGCAAGTTGTTTGCAAACAAGGACAACGATTATTCTGAGGGTTTCAATAACTGGAAACATGCTCAACTTTTACATATTCACGAAAAATCTGGTAATCATTTAAAATCTCTGGAGACGTTTATTACTCGCTCTCATGTGCTAGGAAGAATTGATACAGAAATAGAAAAAGGAGAAATTATGCAAAAGCAATATTTTAAGGAAGTTTTAAAACGTATAATTTCAGTAATAAAATTTCTTGCCAGTCGCAATCTTTCATTTCGTGGAACGCGAGAAACATTCGGCTCCCCAAATAATGGAAACTTTTTGGGAATTTTGGAGTTAATAGCAGAATATGACCCATTTCTTCTACAACATATTCGGAAGTACGGAAATTCAGGGAGTGGAAGAGCTTCCTATCTATCAAAAACAACAGTCAATGAAATACTGCATCAACTAGCTTATAGGGTAAGTATTTACGATATTTACAGTGTACAGTGTATAATCAGAACATGATCCCTCATTAACAATGTGTGTTTTTGTAGATTCAAAATAAGATATCCGAAGAAATTTTGAAAAGCAAATACTACGCCATAAGTGTGGATTCTACCCCCGATATTACCAAGACCGATCAGTTAGTGTTCATTATGCGATATATGAACCAAAC